TTAAACTGCAACATTAACACCCCTCCTTCAGAGTGCAGGCACTGTACTTCCCATCTCCAGGACTCAAGTCCGGCCTGCCGGTTTCCCTGAATCCCTTCATAAATGTTACTTTGCTCACACTCCAACAGCACGTCAAGTATTAAAAACCATTTGTCTCCATTCACTCCTATCAAACACGCTCACGCATGCCTGCTGGAAGTCCAAGCCCCTCGCACACAAAACCTCCTTTACCCCCTCCCTCCAACCCTTCCTAGGCCGACCCCTACCCCGCCTTCCTTCCACTACAGACTGATACACTCTTGAAGTCATTCTGTTTCGCTCCATTCTCTCTACATGTCCGAACCACCTCAACAACCCTTCCTCAGCCCTCTGGACAACAGTTTTGGTAATCCCGCACCTCCTCCTAACTTCCAAACTACGAATTCTCTGCATTATATTCACACCACACATTGCCCTCAGACATGACATCTCCACTGCCTCCAGCCTTCTCCTCGCTGCAACATTCATCACCCACGCTTCACACCCATATAAGAGCGTTGGTAAAACTATACTCTCATACATTCCCCTCTTTGCCTCCAAGGACAAAGTTCTTTGTTTCCACAGACTCCTAAGTGCACCACTCACTCTTTTTCCCTCATCAATTCTATGATTCACCTCATCTTTCATAGACCCATCCGCTGACACGTCCACTCCCAAATATCTGAATACGTTCACCTCCTCCATACTCTCTCCCTCCAATCTGATATTCAATCTTTCATCACCTAATCTTTTTGTTATCCTCATAACCTTACTCTTTCCTGTATTCACCTTTAATTTTCTTCTTTTGCACACCCTACCAAATTCATCCACCAATCTCTGCAACTTCTCTTCAGAATCTCCCAAGAGCACAGTGTCATCAGCAAAGAGCAGCTGTGACAACTCCCACTTTGTGTGTGATTCTTTATCTTTTAACTCCACGCCTCTTGCCAAAACCCTCGCATTTACTTCTCTTACAACCCCATCTATAAATATATTAAACAACCACGGTGACATCACACATCCTTGTCTAAGGCCTACTTTTACTGGGAAAAAATTTCCCTCTTTCCTACATACTCTAACTTGAGCCTCACTATCCTCGTAAAAACTCTTCACTGCTTTCAGTAACCTACCTCCTACACCATACACTTGCAACATCTGCCACATTGCCCCCCTATCCACCCTGTCATACGCCTTTTCCAAATCCATAAATGCCACAAAGACCTCTTTAGCCTTATCTAAATACTGTTCACTTATATGTTTCACTGTAAACACCTGGTCCACACACCCCCTACCTTTCCTAAAGCCTCCTTGTTCATCTGCTATCCTATTCTCCGTCTTACTCTTAATTCTTTCAATTATAACTCTACCATACACTTTACCAGGTACACTCAACAGACTTATCCCCCTATAATTTTTGCACTCTCTTTTATCCCCTTTGCCTTTATACAAAGGAACTATGCATGCTCTCTGCCAATCCCTAGGTACCTTACCCTCTTCCATACATTTATTAAATAATTGCACCAACCACTCCAAAACTATATCCCCACCTGCTTTTAACATTTCTATCTTTATCCCATCAATCCCGGCTGCCTTACCCCCTTTCATTTTACCTACTGCCTCACGAACTTCCCCCACACTCACAACTGGCTCTTCCTCACTCCTTATGGGAACAAATTCGTTCAGTATCAGCACTTGAACAGCCTTCTGGAACGAATTAAGTTTCTAACTCGAGGTACCACTGTACTATCAAAGTCACCAGGAAGTGTTTCCCAAAACTACCTCATTTTATCACAATAACATGCTTAACTTCATAAGAACTAGTATGTGTGGCCATAACTCATGTTTTAAATTCCTTGTTGGAAGCAAAGATCATTCTGGTGTAATCCAATTTTCTTTCAATGGAAAAATCTTTACTGGTCAAATGTAAATGTAACAGTGTTGTTTAAAAAAACCTTAACCCAAACTAACATCATTCTAAACTGCTCTGGCTTAACCTGAAGTAACCTAATTTAAAATAGCTATAAAACATTTTAATAATAAAAAATAAAGCTATTTTTGTGTGACCAGTGATTCGTGATGTATGATGGTGATAGCTACTTGATATATGGGTTTGATTAGGATTAGTTAGCTTAGTTAAGTTATGTTAAATATTTTATGATTGTTGTATTATAATATATAGAACCTTCAAAATATCATGTACACTTATCAGGATCAATTTCATATAAGTTCTGTACAAAAGGGTTTGCATAGGCCTCTCCACAGAGTACAGTATTACAACAAATTTAAATTATTTTTTACAGTAATACACAAATATACAATAGTTTATCATTAAATATATATACACTATATACAGGACATTTTTATATATACAGGAAGGCCCCACTTATACGGCGGGTTAGGTTCCAGGCTACCGCCGTAAAGCGGAAACTGCCGTAAAGTGGAACACCCTTTTTTTCCACTTAAAAATGCATACAAACACTAGATAACAAGTTTACACTAACATATATTAAGTTAGCAATAGAACCAGGCATCAAAAAACAATAAAAAAGTACAATACACACATAGTGCACTCATTACTTACCTTAAAATATTTATAGTCTTAATCTAGGGTGAGACAAGTAGTATTTATTGTAAGAAATCAAGTGTGGTATGTATTGTAATAGCCTCACCAGGCCACCCCACCCACACATACTATTCTATGATATTTAAGCATCCCAGAGCGATAAAATGTATATACAGTTCACTCATTACTTACCTTAAAATATTTGTAGTCTTAATGTAGGGTCAGGAGTAAGTAAATGAGATAAAACGATTAAATGAGAGAGAGAAAGAATGAATACATGAGAGGGGGCAGGCGCAGTTATGTAAACAAACCAGGCGAAGGTAAGTTTTGTAAACAAACGAAGTGTACACGTCTGGTTTGTGTACAAGTTACATTGTGTACAGGTTGTCTCTACATTGATACGGTAGAATTAATAAAGAAGAACACTCCCATTCTCATGTAACATCATTTTGAGAAGAAATGAAGCTCTGAGTGAAGGCAATGGAAATAAGTCACACTGACTTTTTTGGGTTATCCTAGGTTCTCTACACGTATGTTGTTATGTATGATAATCTATGTAACTGTATTTGTGTATACCTGAATAAACTTACTTACATACATACGAAAGGAATAATTTTCTACAGTTACCCCCAGTAACACATTTACTCTTATGTTAGATTAGAGAAAATGTTATTCTTGGCGTCACTTGTACAAGTTATGTGGCTCCCACATCTTATATTTATGTTTATTTATTCTATTGTGGGGTGTATTTATCATCTTTTTATGTTATGTATCGTGTTTATTATATAATTTTGAAAAAAATATCATGGCTGGATTAATGAAAATGTGTATATTACCGTAATATACGACATTTAATGAGACTCGGTGACTATTGTTATTATGGCGTCACTTGTGGAAGTCGTCTGCTCACATCTCACATTTATGTTTATTTATTCTACTGTGGGGTGTATTTATCTTATTTATATGTTATGCATCGTGTTTATTATATAATTTTGAAAAAAATATCATGGATGGATTAATGAAAATGTGTATATTACCGTAATATACGACATTTAATGAGACTCGGTGAGTATTGTTATTATGGCGTCACTTGTGGAAGTCGTCTGCTCACATCTCACATTTATGTTTATTTATTCTACTGTGGGGTGTATTTATCTTATTTATATGTTATGCATCGTGTTTATTATATAATTTTGAAAAAAATATCATGGATGGATTAATGAAAATGTGTATATTAACGTAATATACGACATTTAAATGACTCGATGTATGTAAGTTTATTTAGGTACAGGTATACATAAGTATAATTATCAGAGTATATATAAAATATGAAATAACTTTTAAAAACATTTGAAATTTTGGAGTTTCCAGACAAAATGGAGAGACTTAGTGCTTACTGAGCTCATGGAGAATGTAAACAAACAGGGTGGGGCACGGTGACCGTATTAGAAAGTCAGGTGGGGGGAGCCGTATAGTGAGTTTTGGTCATAATTTGAAATGTCCGTATTAGCGGAACGCCGTAAAGTGAAACGCCGTAAAGCGGGGCCTTCCTGTAATATAGTACTTGAATAATAACAGAATAATACAAAGTAGGCAAACCAATTTATTACATAGTAGCTATTGATGAAAAAGTGATTCTTAGAAAGTGAACTGTTATATTGCAGTTTATTTTATCTCACAGAGCAGCAAAGTACAGTGTATACACATGTATAATGTAATTAAAATTCAGAAGTCTCAGTATTTTAAAATAGGATAGAACCAAGGACATGAGGAAACTAAATTAATGCAGGACTTCTAATTGTAACATCAGTACATAAATTTAATATTGTACATTAAATTAAAATATTTGTTAACAAAAAATTAATAAAATATTTCTAGCACTAAACAGCTGCCTGAAAATATTAATGTAACATGGCAACCAGTATACAAAATTAAGATAACTGCTATATTCATTTAAGCAATATTTGCCTGGGAAGTAGAAAAAATTATATAGAATATGTATGTAAATCTGAAGGTGTTGGAAATGTCTTTTAAGGGATTTTCATGATGTTAACAAATAGGGAGCTCCCAGAAGGAATAAGACATCCACACCCCTCACAAATGAGTAGCTCTAGAACTTGTGTAGCTCAGTGGTCAAGGCTTTTGGTTCATAATTGAAAGGTCCCAGGTTCAAATTACATATAAGCAGGGTGACATATATGGGTAAATCCTGCACCCTAATGCTTTTGTTCATCTAGCAGTATTTAGGTACCTGGATGTTATTGGACTGTTGTAAGTTGCATCTAAGGAGGTGATACATTTCATCTGGCATAAAAAAAAAAAAAAAAAAAAAAAAAAAAACTGACAATCCAAATTCTCAAACAGGTGTTTACGTGTAATTTGATGATAGGACATGATAATGGAAACTCAAGTCATTAACAATAAAATGTAATTAAACATATTAAAGATATACAGACACATGAATAAAAGGCAAGGAGAATGATGAGTTCAACACTTAAATATTTGCTTTGAGGACAGTCAATATATATAAATAATAATATGACTACAATGAAAAGAATTTATCGTGTTAGATAATTACTAATTTTAAATAAATATACAAGCTATTTCCTGAGATGGGCAGAGATGTAATTTACAATCATGGATGCTTTGCAAGATCCATGGGGAACTAACGCTAATTATAAAATTAAATATCACAGAACACTTTCAAGATGAAATTAACGCTGAAATACACCTTGAGTTCATTACGTCACAATACACTTAGAAATGCAGTAAACTCTTGATATAACAGACTAATGGGGGTGGGGATTGAGTGTCCATTAAATCAGAATAATGTTAAAAATAGGAAAAAATGCACTTAAGTCCTCAACTGTATACATAATATAGTACTCAACACACAGATTACAGATATACTGCAATAAACATCAAATATAAAGGAGCTAAAAGTACAACTTAACCAGTGTTTTGCTTATAATATTGAAAGTCTGTTATATCAAGGGTTTACTGTATTATGTATACCTTACAAGTGTCTTCAAAATGCTTAGGTCATTTGAGGTCTAAAGTGGAATAGTATGGGTCATCCTTGATGCAAGGTAAGTAGGTTACCCAGGTAGTCATTGAGCTTTCTACCACACTTGGCAGTTATTAATTGTATTAATACAGTTTCCTCTGTAAGTGGTGGTTGTTTGTGAATACAGCACAGATTTCCTTTGCTTTATGCAGATTTATTACACAGTATGTGACTTCTATATTACGTGATGTCCAATTTCTTAGCCATAATTATGTATAAAGTGATAAAAATTTGCCACATGCAATTGCTATGGTTTATCAGGCATATCACAGATTCTTATGTACAGTTGTTTATGGCCTCTGAGCTTCTTAAAGTGAGGGACATCTCTATTTACTTTTAGTTGTTCAGATTATAATTACAGTAGATCATCAGTTATATGGTGACCAAATATTCAATGTCAAATATTATGAGGTTTAATCTGAGCTGGTACTTTCGCAGAAACAGTAGATTTCTTGATTCAAATGTACACTGAATATTCCCTTCAAATGTTTAATTAGGTATTTTACACAAGATTAGTATTAGTGTTACATAAATTTCAGAAAACATTTGATTGATAAGAAAAAACTGTCAATAATGGACTTGACATACAGTGGAACCTCGGTTTTCGTGATTAATTCGTTCCAGAAAGTCTGACGAAAACCAAACTGTACGAAAACTGAAGCAATATTTCCCATAAGAAATAATGTAAATCAAATTAATCCATTCCAGACACCCAAAAATATTAACAAAAAATACATTGTATAGAGAATAACTATAGTTTTACATACAGAAAACAATGAGAAATAAATATAAATGACTAATGATATGGATAAATGAACATTTAACATCACTTTTACCTTTATTGAAGACTCTTGTTGTCATATGGAAGATGGCAAGGAAGGAAGAGGGAGGATTATTATTATTATTATTATTATTATAATCAAAAAGAAGCGCTAAGCCAAAGAGGGAGGAGAAGTTATTGTTTGGAAGAGGAATCCCCCACCATAAAGACTTCAGGTATCAAGGCCCTATCTGGGGTTACTTCCCTTCTTTTACTGGCACTATTACAGCCTGAAAGCCACTGGACCCCTGTCGCACAAAAAATCTGTCCAGAGAGGTCCATTTCTGGCGTCTCTTAAGATTTACCTAAAATGGGACAAGGCACTGACATTGAACATGTTACAGACATGGCTTACAACAGCTTTCTAAGGATGATATTTCTCCACAAAACTTTGCAACTCATTCCACTTTGCACACATGTCCCTAATCACTGAAGAAGGCACATTATTCCCTCTCTCTTCCTCCTCCTCTGAAGCAATTTTCTCAACTGCGGTCATTTTTGTACTTTGCTACTTTCTACTTTCGTACTTTGAATTCTATCGTGTTTCTCACCTTCTTTATCAAAGTGCTGGCACTTGGAACTTTCTCTGGCCCCATGATGTCTTATTTAACAGTCGCACTCAATAAACAAGTACAAAAAACAATGGATCATTACGAAATGTAATCCGAATGCTCGGGGTAATGCTCACTTAACAAGAAACAAACCCAGACTGAGTCAGAGCGTGTGGGATGCTTTGTGTGGGTGCGGGCAGGTGGACGGGTTTGGTACGGTGGACCATTGTTAACTCTACGAAAACCGAGCGGATGTATGAAAACTGGGACAAAATTTAGACAAAAAAAGCCATCAAATTCTACGAAAACCAGGGCATAAAAAAAACGAGGTTCCACTGTAATTCCCTTTTCTTTCCATAAATGATCACTGAGTATCACTGCTACTTCTTCCTTAGCTCTAATTCTCTCACAAACACCTGACCTAATACCATTTACAGTTCCCCACTGAAATTCTCCTACCCCCTTTTAGGACATACTGTATATTATAAACATTACAGTATTAGTTCATAAAAGTCAAATGATTACTCAAACTGTCAAAAGGTGTTGTATATCAGAGATATTTCACATGAGAGCCTGATTGTTTTTAGTCCCTCTTAGGAATACAAATAGATGGAGAAAAAATAAATATACATTACTATATGACTTTTCAGGATTATTAGGAATATCAAAACAATGCAATTAAGAAATCTAATAACAATGATGTACAAGAATTAATCCCTTCACAAGAGGTACCCTGATGCAGGTGAGGGGCTCTTAAGCCAAGAAGCTGAATCTGTCCTTCCCTTCCTTGTATGTCCTGATTACCTATCCCCTGATGCTAAAATAATTTAATAATTGATTTATATACAATACCAATTTATTAATGTGTTTGAAGATGATTAACACAGTTCTGTGGTGGACACATATCAAAGAGAGCAGGATAATGTGGCATCACACTATGATTATATATGTGGGAGTTGTACCCATGAAGGAAGCCTGACATGGCCGCTGGGTGGTTTACCCCACCTGAAGCAGGAATCTGCGTGGTGTGTGTTGGTGCAACAGTCCCAGGCCCAGTACCAGAATGAGCCATAGGTGGAGATATTGGCTGACCAGAATGTACAGCCACTCCAGCATTGCCAGTACCTACTCCATGAGGGTGGGGTGCCAAGTGTGGATGGGTATGAGGATGGGGATGGCTGTGGGTTGGATGAATAGGTGGTGGTTGCATTTGTGGAGGCTTTGGAATACGTCTGCATGAAATCCGAGGGTTGCGGTGTGGTGGTAATCTTCCTCGTCCACCAGTGGTTCCCTGAGAACTGTCTTCCCCACCACCTGTTTCTTCATTGTGGTTCGTTCTCATATGGGTTTTCAAGTGATGAACCTAAAATAAGCACTCGACTATTACTATTTGTATATTGCAAGAACTATGAATTTATTATTACTGTTACAATGTACATTCACAGGGGTGTTAAATCAGGAAAATGAAAGGCAATTAAACATGATTTAAAGAAAGGTACGATAATTTCAATTATTTGGATCAAAAGCCCTTTGCCAACATCAAAGTATGCATTTACTATAGGCTGTAAAACTTGTTTCTTTAATATAATTAGGATAACTGTTTCTTGATGATAATTTCATTAAGATAATGAGATGAACTAAACAAGTGTGAAGTAAAGTAAAAGAAATTTGAAAATATATATATATATGCCTGCACTTTAAAGGAGGGGTTTGGGATATTGGCAGTTTGGAGGGATATGTTGTGTATCTTTATATGTGTATGCTTCTAGACTGTTGTATTCTGAGCACCTCTGCAAAAACAGAGATAATGTGCGAGTGTGGTGAAAGTGTTGAATGATGATGAAAGTATTTTTCTTTTTGGGGATTTTCTTTCTTTTTTGGGTCACCCTGCCTCGGTGGGAGACGGCCGACTTGTTGAAAAAAAAAAAATATATATATATATATATATATATATATATATATATATATATATATAAGTGAACAGTATTTAGATAAGGCTAAAGAGGTCTTTGTGGCATTTATGGATTTGGAAAAGGCGTATGACAGGGTGGATAGGGGGGCAATGTGGCAGATGTTGCAGGTGTATGGTGTAGGAGGTAGGTTACTGAAAGCAGTGAAGAGTTTTTACGAGGATAGTGAGGCTCAAGTTAGAGTATGTAGGAAAGAGGGAAATTATTTCCCAGTAAAAGTAGGCCTTAGACAAGGATGTGTGATGTCACCGTGGTTGCTTAATATATTTATAGATGGGGTTGTAAGAGAAGTAAATGCGAGGGTCTTGGCAAGAGGCGTGGAGTTAAAAGATAAAGAATCACACACAAAGTGGGAGTTGTCACAGTTGCTCTTTGCTGATGACACTGTGCTCTTGGGAGATTCTGAAGAGAAGTTGCAGAGATTGGTGGATGAATTTGGTAGGGTGTGCAAAAGAAGAAAATTAAAGGTGAATACAGGAAAGAGTAAGGTTATGAGGATAACAAAAAGATTAGGTGATGAAAGATTGGATATCAGATTGGAGGGAGAGAGTATGGAGGAGGTGAATGTATTCAGATATTTGGGAGTGGACGTGTCAGCGGATGGGTCTATGAAAGATGAAGTGAATCATAGAATTGATGAGGGAAAAGGGTGAGTGGTGCACTTAGGAGTCTCTGGAGACAAAGAACTTTGTCCTTGGAGGCAAAGAGGGGAATGTACGAGAGTATAGTTTTACCAACGCTCTTATATGGGTGTGAAGCATGGGTGATGAATGTTGCAGCGAGGAGAAGGCTGGAGGCAGTGGAGATGTCATGTCTGAGGGCAATGTGTGGTGTGAATATAATGCAGAGAATTCGTAGTTTGGAAGTTAGGAGGAGGTGCGGGATTACCAAAACTGTTGTCCAGAGGGCTGAGGAAGGGTTGTTGAGGTGGTTCGGACATGTAGAGAGAATGGAGCGAAACAGAATGACTTCAAGAGTGTATCAGTCTGTAGTGGAAGGAAGGCGGGGTAGGGGTCGGCCTAGGAAAGGTTGGAGGGAGGGGGTAAAGGAGGTTTTGTGTGCGAGGGGCTTGGACTTCCAGCAGGCATGCGTGAGCGTGTTTGATAGGAGTGAATGGAGACAAATGGTTTTTAATACTTGACGTGCTGTTGGAGTGTGAGCAAAGTAACATTTATGAAGGGGTTTCAGGGAAACCGGCAGGCCCGACTTGAGTCCTGGAGATGGGAAGTACAGTGCCTGCACTCTGAAGGAGGGGTGTAAATGTTGCAGTTTAAAAACTGTAGTGTAAAGCACCCTTCTGGCAAGACAGTGATGGAGTGAATGATGGTGAAAGTTTTTCTTTTTCGGGCCACCCTGCCTTGGTGGGAATCGGCCAGTGTGATAATAATATATATATATATATATATATATATATATTATATATATATATATAATATATATATATATATATATATATATATATATATAATGTATATACACCTACCATCTGACTTACGACCGAGTTCAGTTCCAAGAAACCGGTCGTAAGTCGAAATGGTCATAAGTCGAACTTTACTACTGAACATCAACAAAACATTTTTGTAATGACTTTATTTTATTGTTTTATTTTGGTATTTCATGTTTTACTTTACTTTTTATGTTGTTAGTACTGTATTTTATACTGTAAGGTTTAGGATAAACACTGTGTACAACACAAATAGTTGCTTATTTCCCAGAAATTTGGCATAAAAAACACGGTCGTAAGTCGAGTGGTCGTAAGTCGAGCAGGTCGTAAGTCGGATGGTAGGTATATATATATATATATATATATTATATATATATATAATATATATATATATATATATATATATATATATATATATATATACATACATACATATACACACATAGGGAATTGACACAGTTACATGTACTTTTTGCTGATGATACTGTGCTTTTGGGAGATTCTAAAGAAAAATTGCAAAGGTTAGTGGATGAGTTTGGGAGTGTGTGTAAAGGTAGAAAGTTGAAAGTGAACATAGAAAAGAGTAAGGTGATGAGGGTATAAATGATTTAGATAAAGAAAAATTGGATATCAAATTGGGGAGGAGGAGTATGGAAGAAGTGAATGTTTTCAGATACTTGGGAGTTGATGTGTCGGCGGATGGATTTATGAAGGATGAGGTTAATCATGGAATTGATGAAGGAAAAAAGGTGAGTGGTGCATTGAGGTATATGTGGAGTCAAAAAATGTTATCTATGGAGGCAAAGAAGGGAATGTATGAAAGTATAGTAGTACCAACACTCTTATATGGATGTTAAGCTTGGGTGGTAAATGCAGCAGCGAAGAGACGGTTGGAGGCAGTGGAGATGTCCTGTCTAAGGGCAATGTATGGTGTAAATATTATGCAGAAAATTCGGAGTGTGGAAATTAGAAGGTGTGGAGTTAAAAGTATTAGTCAGAGGGCTGAAGAGGGGTTGTTGAGGTGGTTTGGTCATTTAGAGAGAATGGATCAAAGTAGAATGACATGGAGAGCATTTAAATCTGTAGGAGAAGGAAGGCGGGGTAGGGGTTGTCCTCAAAAAGGTTGGAAGGAAGGGGTAAGGGAGGTTTTGTGGGCGAGGGGCTTGGACGTCCAGCAGGTGTGCATGAGCGTATCTGATAGGAGTGAATGGAGACGAATGGTATTTGGGACTTGACGATCTGTTGGAGTGTGAGCAGGGTAATATTTGATGAAGGGACTCAGGGAAACCGGTTATTTTTATATAGCTGGACTTGAGTCCTGGAAATGGGAAGTGCAATGCCTGCACTCTAAAGGAGGGGTTTTGGGATATTAGCAGTTTGGAGGGATATGTTGTGTATCTTTATATGTGTATGCTTCTAAACTGTTGTATTCTGAGCACCTCTGCAAAAACAGTGATAATGTGCGAGTGTGGTGAAAGTGTTGAATGATGAAAGTATTTTCTTTTTGGGGATTTTCTTTCTTTTTTTTTTTTTTTGGGTCACCCTGCCTCGGTGGGAAACGGCCGACTTGTTGAAAAAAAAAAAAAATATATAAATACAGTAAGTGGGTAAAAATGTTATGGAGGAGTAGTAGGTAAATTTGGGGTGCCGGGGTAAAATTTAAAAGGGGGGGCCTTTAACTGGCTTTGTAGAAAGAGATTTGGTAATAATAATACTATTTTATGAAAAAAGGGAAAAAAAAATGAAAGGTATGATTAGACATAAAGAAAGTAGTTTATTAGATTATGTATTGGTGGACAAAAGGTTTATGGGTGGCTCCGATGTACTGTTTATAGAGGGGCAACTGATATATCAATTATTTTTTAGTTGTAGCTCACTAAGGGAAGAGGTGATGGGAAAAGAGGGGGTGGGAACAAAAAAAAGGGAGGGAAAAGGGAAAACTAAGGGGAGGAGGAAGTTCGGGTGAGATATAAGCGACTATTGGGGTGCAGGGGTAAATGAAAGGGGGGCCTTTAATTTATTGTGAAAAGGATTTGGGAATAAGTAATACAATTTTTTGAAAAAGAGGAAAATTTAAAAGTACAAGGATAATGTAGCACAAAAGAAATAATTTATTAGATTATGATTGGTGGATAAAAAGGGTTTATGGGGGGCTCCAGGATGTACATGTTTATAGAGGGGCAACTGATATATCGGATCTTTATTTAGTTTTTGTACAGTTAGAAAAAAGGGGGTAGAGGGGAAAAAGGGGAAAGGTGGCAACAACAAAAAAAGAGGGGGTGAAATGTATAAAATAAGGGAGGAGGAAGTTCGGGTGAGATTTTAAGGGGATATTGGCAAAAAGGGTTTGGGCTAGGCAAAGTTGATTTTGGGGGGGGGGGGGTTTTGAAGAGAGTTGGAATATTTTTTTAAAAATGCAGTATAAGAATGTGGGGCAAAAAAGTTTGGGGGTTTTTAGGAGGGGGGGGGGAAGGAGGAATGAGGGATTGGGGGAATGAGGGAAGAAAAGGGGTTTTGTGTTAAAAGAAAAAAAGGGTAGCTTATGAGAGGTTTTTAAAAAGGGATGTGTTAAAAGAAGAGCAGGTTTTGGGGGTAATAGAAAGGTAAAGGGGTTGGTTTGAGAGAGTCAAAAGGAGAGCGGGTGATAGAGTGGGAGAGGCACGGTCAAAAATTTTAATGAAAAGAAAAAATTTGGGGAGTGATTTTAATCAATTTTAAGAAAGCTGGGAAAAAAGTAGGTTTTTGTCATTTAAAAAAACAGGTAGGGAGTTAGTAGATGGGGAGATGGAGGTATTGGGTAGAGGGTTTGAAAATTTTTTGAGGAATTTTTTAAATGTTGGGGAAGAAAGAGAGGCGGTAATTTCTGCATTTGGTTCAGGGGGGGTTTTACCATCTTTTGGGAGTAAAGAAGAGCAGAATTTTAAGTGGGGGGGAGGTAGTGAGGCTTTT